ACATCCTTTTCTGTCATTCCTGGTAGTCTGCTAACACTGCCCACTCCTGCAAGCCCACCGGGATGCCTGTGTTACAGGAAGGAGTGATTTCTAGGTGCCAGTAATCCTTGTAATGACCTCATATTTAGGCTCCTCATGTTGGTACAGAGGCACTTCTGAATCTGCCCCCACAGCGAATTTAGCTACATCCACCTCGTGTTACATCCACCTGAACAAGTTGCTTTTTCTGACTTTCAGTCTTGCCCAACTGCCAGTAGAAACTGTCTCTGATTTTTCAGTTTTCATGGTCAGCACCTTGGCCTAATAATGATGCAAGTGCATCCCGTTTCTCACTTCAAAACATCCCCCATCTCCTGAGCTGTACCATCCTTACACTGTGCCCCTTGTGCACGGAGGGGCGCTCTGATCTCTGTGTGCATGTAAGTCCTTGCACAAGCATTCCTGAGAGCTCTGTTCCTCAAGTGCAGGCTTGTTTCCTGGCTGTGAGCTTCAGTCTGGGCTGCACAGCATCCCCTCCACACTTGCTGCATCCTCACTACTCGCAGGTACTCGCAGGTGCTGCTCCTCCGCTGCTGCCCGGGGCCACCAAGCTCCGCTGGCCCGGGATGTTTGCTTTCCTGTCTAGTGCTGCTTTGCTCTACTGCTGCTTTATTTTGTTAGAGCAAGTCGTGAAATAGTTTCCTGTCAGCTCAGCTTGGGATGATGGAAAGCATGAAGCTGAGAAACAACGCAGCACTTAAATTTATATTTGTTTTGCTGTTTGATTGTTAATTTGGTGTACAAAGTAAATGGAAGTGGAGAGATGGGATTTCTTTCTTTGAAGAGGACGTAGTTTACAAACTGCTTTGGTAGCTGAATACTGAAATCCAGACTAATGGAAGTTTAAGAAGTGGAGAAAGAATCTACAGTTTAGAGGAATGTCTCTGCTGGCTTTGCCTGTAAAACTATACAAACCACAATATACAATGTTCTCTTACTGAAGAGATGTATTTTTACACATTTGAAATGCTAGTTATTTAGAATAAATATACATTATTCAGATTTCTTTTTCCTGTGATATCACTATCAGTTTATCACAAATATTACTGAAATTATTAAAACAGAGAGACTTGAGGGCTCTCAAAGTAAACAGAAGGCCTCAGTTTGTCCGTTCTTAATTTTGAAGGACTTTGGCAACAATTACATTGCAGTGGAAGAGTCGGTGTAGGAGGTTGAAACCTGAGCTACTTTATTGCTGTCATATTTAAAGTGCATATAAAAATAGACTTCATTAGTAATTGAAAACTGGAATATCTGTTTAAGTGTAACACTGCTGTCACAACTTTCTTAAGGGACAAGGCAAATAATTTGGAGTGGTGGAATGAATTTATGTGGTTCAGAAGGGGAAGGTAGTCTGAGGCCAGTTGTTTGTCCCTTCTCATTTACAGAAAAATCTGTGTTTCGGAGCTTCTCTCCTCCCCCAGTTTCCCTGGTAATGCTAGTAATTCCAAAGAGAATTAATTGGCTTTTGAAGGTGAGCAGTTGAGAACTGGTAGAATTTTGTAGGAGCCCCAAATATTGGCTTGCAATTAAAAATTCCTTGGATTCAATTTATTTCCTGGAGTCTGTTGAACTTCATTTGTTAATTCCAGTGCTGCATTGGTCCCCCCTCTGAAGCCTTGTGTTAGTGTGAATCCTGTCTCACCGAAGGAGGGATAGAGTTCAGTATCACAGTTCAATAACAAAAAATGTTTAATCCACTTTATTACAATTTTCAATTCCTTCTTTCTGCTGTGCTTGGTCGCTAGAAGCATTATAAACATTCTGTGCTTGTATCTGTTATTTAGCCAGATAGAAGGTTTTATTAGGAAATTATGTCCCACACGAAAGCCAGTCCATTTGGCTCCCACACAAAAGTTGTTAGTGTTCATTTAACCCAAATTGTACAGGGTTCTTGACTAATGCTATCCCCAACATGTTTGCTTGTAATGTATGATGTGCATTTCTGTTTTGTCTCTTGAAGGAAAGTTCAGGCTTGCTTGTTCCTGCTGTTAATTATAACAAATTCTGGCAAGTTTAGGAATCTGAAAAGCTTGTCAGATGTTGGCCTTAAGGGCTAGTGTCCCTGAAGTTGGATGTAATTTGTGCATAATAAATTGCTTCAATAAGATTTTGTTTCTTAGCTTAATTACATAAGTCTTTTGGGAGTTAAGCTAATGTGAAATTAAGGGTCATGGGACCACCACAAACTTTTGGAGGTTATGGTGATAAAATCCAGATGTTTCTTCTCACAATCAACCTCCAAGATGTTGTCCTTATCCAATGGTGTTCTTATGTGATTGCTGTAACACTGTAGATTGGTTAGTTGCATTAAACACTGACATGAATTGGATAATTAAATACTAGTCAGATTACCTGACTTGGCTGACTGCATGCATTACAGTGTCATCTGCAGATGTCCTGAATACCCAGACTTTGGATAAAAGAACTTTGAATCAATGTGTGGGAATCATGACCTTCCCCAGGGTAGTACCTGAAGCAGCAGATCACACAGCCCTGAGTGAGGCTGAACTAAGTCAAACTCAAAAGGGAGGGTGAGGTTGTTGGAAAAAGCAGTGGGATTCATAAAAGGTAGGAAATAATGACAAAATTTAGGACCTTCACATATGGGGATTCAATTTAGAGTAGTTGAAGAAGACCAGGGTGGGAACTGGTAAGAATCAGCTTGCATTGGAACTTGGGCCGGAGGTGAAAGCCAGCAGCAGCACTTAGGTATTTGAGGGGGGGATTTTGTTCTCTAAGTAGAATTACAGAATTGCTACACTTCAGCTTTGGTGGGGGAAAGTGTTTCTTTTTAAATACTTATGTCTTGAGTTTTGATTGTTTTATAATTTTCCTTAATAATTTATAACAGAGTTATAAGTGACATCAGTAAGGACTTATTTGTTCCTATGCAGAACAGCCCATGTGCTCTGAAGCAAAAGAAACATACACTATACAATGCACAGAGTTTTTTAAGTATCTTTTGAAGCTCAATCTTCAGCTCTAACTGAATATGCATACCATAGATGCTTTGTATAGGACCTTATTACTTTTTCTGAAAAGACCAGATCATCTGGCTTCCAAGCATTTGTTTTCTAGATAGTTTTGCATATGATTAGAATGTTCCACTTAATAGGTAATGACTCAAAAGAGGATTTGTACATCATGAACATTATAAGCATTTAAGACATGGATAATACATCTGTCACTTTAAGATATTAATAGAATGCTTTTAGGTGCCCATATAGTCACTGACCTTCATGTAGTGGCCTGGATAGTATCTTTAGAGAAACAGCCCTGCAAAATCCCTTCTTCACATTAAAGCAAGAGAAAAAAAATTTCTTTCAGATAATATCGATTTCTTTGTGGTTAGTAAAAGCACTGCACATAAATCTGAAGGAAATGTCTACATGTGCCATCATTCCAGACTCCAGGTCCTTAACTTGCCATCTTATATACTTAACTGCCATCTAATAGCTGGGAGAAGGTTCTACCAGAAGCCTCTTGGCAAGAGCTGTTTGCTGCTCCATGGCCAAGAGGTAGACTCGTGCCTGGATGGAGCCCTCATCCAGCTCCCCAGCCGATGCTGCGGGGCAGTGTTCTCCCTTTGCGCTGTGGGCTCTGTGCACGACGTCCGGACACAGCCACGCAGCACCTTACAGATTTCTGCATCCAAGCGCCTCTAGACCTTAGAGATCTCTTTATCTCTTCTCCTTCCCTCCCCCTCTGCAAGTACACACACACATTTGCATGAACAGGCTTTTAAAATTCCTTAAGGCAATTTCTAGTATGTGATAAGGACTGTTTTTACAGCAGAGTCCTTACAAATCAATAATCCTTTAAAGATGAAAAACAAATGGGGGATATCTGCTTTGGCAGACAACAATAAAGATGTACATGCTGTAACAATTTATTTGCAGATTCATTCCTCCAGATACCCCTTACAGTTACAGGTCAAAGTCTTCTGTGCATCTGCACTGCTGTCCGAAAAATGTCAACAACCTAAAGAGACCACCCAGTCTGTGTTACATTTGTGCCTGTCTGTATTGTAGGAAGGCACTTCTGGTCTCTTTTCAAAATAGGATTCCTATCCAAATTTCTAAGGACTTCTATCCTCACATCATGCAAATCTCTGTCCAGGGCTACTGTGGTTACTGCCATACCCCTTGCTACTGATAAATGTGAATGGTTACCAATACACACTGTGCAGGATTTCACATTTACAACATGCAGTATATTACAGTAATCATGCCCAGTATTTTTACCACTTGTTAGTTGTAAGAAATCTCACAAGGCCATTTGAGTAATGGAGTTTTGTTTGTCCTTAATGCTTGCTTGGTAAGTTTGTCTAGGGATAAATTGAGGAAATGGCATTTGGGGGCAGGGGGGAGGCAATAGGGCTGTCTCAGGCTTTGTGAGACAGAAAAAAAAAAGGAAGGGATACAATATAGAGAGCAGCATTTTGTTCTAAGTCTTTTATCCTATTACACTTTTTAATTACAGATTATTGCTTAAACTGAGGCATACTTTCTCTTGGAGATGCTTTGGGAAATCACTATAATTCAAATTTTGTCATTCAGCAGCAAACAAAATTTAGATTTTAAAAAGGACAAGCAAGGAGGATTACTAACTTTAAACAAAATTGCAGGATTGATGACATCAAAGTTACTGTATCTGACACTATTGAGTGACTAGATTGCTGCTAAGTAGAGGGTAATATTTTCAAGCACAGCCTTTTACAGTTAACAAGGTGCATATTTGGACAGTTCTTCCATGCTGTGCATGATAGTGGTCCACCATTTCAAGTGTGAGGCCAGATGGTTTCTAAGTTCAGTGAAGTGCTCAGGATCAAAACATAAGGAGGGAAGGTTTTTGAGCACTGAAGTTAGGCTTCCAAGGCACTTACAGTCAGATTTTTTTGGTGTATTTATAACTCAGTGTTTTTGTAACTCAGTCATGTTGTTTTGCTCTCTTCTTAGAGTTTCTTTGTAAGGAATGCCCAAGAGTTCATATTTTCATTGACCGAATTGATCTGAAGGACATTCCAGAAGAGCAGATGTATATGAGGAGGTGGCTTCATGAGCGTTTTGAAATAAAGGATAAGTGAGTAGAAATACAGAGAACTTTCTATTTCAAGACTCTGTCTTATTGCTTTTATACTAATAAATATACCCATGATTTCTGTGTTCCAAGTGGTGCCTGCTATAGGGCTCTCTGAAAAGGGGTGATGTTGGTACTCCTGTTAATGTACTATAATACAATATAATATGGCCTTGTGGTTAAACCTTTTGCTGAGAAGGTTGGGATTCCTCAGGTTTTGTCCTTCTTTAGATTGAAGAAGTGTGAGTCCATGTTCCAGGCAAGACTCACTCATCTGAATACTCTCCATTCATCTTCTTGTAGTTAAGTCCTGTGCAGGAATGTAAGATGCCTGTGGTAGGCAAGCAAGAAAAAGCAGTGTGATTCTGCCCTTGTAATCAGTGTTAAGTTGGAGTGATAGAGGGGCAGGTCTTGATCTAATCTCTTCTGCCCAAATTGTTTACAAATCTTTCATCCAGACCGCGACTGGATAAAAACACAGTTAACCCCAAAATTCCTACCTTCACTGGGGAAACAAGGTGAAGTAGAAGTTTCATTTGTCCATTTTTGAATTGTGGCAGAAGTTAAGTGCCTGGCTTCCTCCAACATCTCCAGATAAGGTCACTAGTGAGTATATGCAGCAGATCCTGGGGTACCTTGTTCTGCAGAAGGACTTTGTGTCTAAATGTAGGATTTAAGTTTTCTTTGAGAGATGATGGTTTAATTTGCCAGATCTGAAGTCCTGCTTAAGGGAGGTGAATCTGTTTACTTTCTAAATCCTTGAATACTTTGAGTGAGACAGAAATTTCCCTGGTTCTTTAATATTGTTCTGCCAGTCTCACACTCCATGGAAGTAAAAAATGTATTCATTTCTCCTGAGAACTTTGAATTCATGAAGTTAACATGACTATCTGTAAACATGACATTGTTACTAAAGTGTCTTAGACATTTAGGATCACTACTTTTGAAAAGTAGAAAGTCTGAATTTAATTTAAATAGACAAGGAGCTGATACATAAAATAAAAGGCTGTCCAATGTGTCCCTTTAGTTATCTAGTGAAAGGGAACAAAACTGAATCATCCATGTGTCATTGTAAGCTCCTGTTCATTGGAACATCTTGCCTGGGACCAAATAGTCTGTCAGGCAAATTTAGAGATAGTTAAAACCTCAGAATTTCCAGATCCGTTTATTACTGTTTTTAAAAACTAGGAGGAAAAAGGTTACTACTAAGCCAGTAATGCAGCATCTTGCTCTTGCATGTTTATCTTCCAATATATTCAGTGTGTTGGGTGTCCTTGTTATTTATTAATTTATTTTATGAAGATACTTCCTCCTCCTTTGGTGCTCAGTGTATTGTCATACAATATTGTACAATGCTCTGGACTTTTTTGCTAAATGCTGAATGAAATCAATTCTTGTCAACTTTTATATTCACTGTTGCGGTTGGTCCACAAGGAAAATATGAAATATGGCCTTAATGCTTCCAAGGGTTCAGGCTGAGTATTTTGACATGCATCATATTTGTAAGGTGTACTTATTGTTTGAACTTGTTACAGAGGAGCTGCTACATATTATGAGGTCATTTACTAAAAATGTTTGGTTAGAAGCAGTTACTGGTTGAAAGTAAGTTTGTGTAAAATGTCTTACTGTCTGACTCTGACCATCTCCTTTTTCTCTGCTTATAGGTTACTAATAGAATTTTATGATGCAAAGGATTCTAAAAGAAGAAATAAGTTCCCTGGGAAAAGTGTTCATTCCAAACTAAGCCTCAAGAAAACTTTGCCATCTTTGCTGTTTTTAGGTGGCCTGACTGCTAGTATGCTTCTGACAGAATCAGGAAGGAAACTATATGTAAAAACATGGATATATGGAACTTTAATTGGCTGCCTGTGGGTTAGCATTAAACCATAAGCAGATGTTAGTCTCCAATCAGTGAAATGTGCAGTCTTTTCTTGCACATTACACCAAATTTTTTCCTGACTTTATAGAAAAAAAGTGTAAATAAAGCCTTATTGATCGAATATTGGAAATAATAGATTTTGTGACTTAAGCCTCTGTGTGGTTGGTCTGGGGAAAATAAATGTAGATTTTCAAATTTGCTACTGATTTTTGCTGGAATAATGACAGATAAACCGAGTCATATGATAAATTGCTTTCCCCATGAGCTAACATCTATCTCTCTCTGCAGATTTGAAAAAGTATGAGTTATGCATAAGGGTGTCTTATGTGGACCTGTGAATGTATTTACAGAGATTAATTTAGGGTATATATTTATTCTTCTGATATTCATGTCAAATTTTTGTTACTCTTTGGTGCATTACAGCAGCTCAGTTGCATCTATCCCAGCTGTATCGCAACTAAAATCAAAATTTTCCTTTTTTCTTTCTTATTTTTACTCTTCAGTTTTCACTAAATACTGTGTTCTTTAAAAGGGACTGTGTAAGCTGGCAAATCATGAGATGTTACTAGAAGCAGCATAAAATGTTCCTGAGAACTACTGTTCATGGGGAAGAAGCTCTGTTTATCTAGTGCATGACTTTTGATTATATTGCAGTATTAGGTGATTGTTTTACATATGCAAAACATTAAATGGTACCGAACAAACGGCTTCTTTTGCGCACCTCACATTTGTGCATAAAAGGAATGTGTGCAGTGTAAGGAAATGTGAAGTTTTTGTTTCTGGCCAGAACCCCTGTAGCCTCCCTTGTGTCTGCATTACCCCTCTCACCACGAGCATTCAGCTGAGCTCACACTCCTCCTCCACGTGTATGTGCCATAAGCAGAAGTTTCCCATTACCTCACGATTTTCTGGAAGCAAACCTTGTTGTTTGAGAAGTGCATGGAATCACTGTAACAAGGAACCTTCAGGTGTTCCTGGTAAATCTGGAGCGTGTGCCTTTCCCACTGACCTGATCTAGCCTGGTGTTCCACAGGCTAGCAGTCATCTCTGTGCTGTAGTATCCCACTAGATTTGAGTCATTCTAGGCCATGCAGACTGCACTTAGGTTGAAATTATGGGGTTGATATATATGGTTTGCACAGTAGATAATCATCAATGAAACGCATATCTTATCAGTATTTCACCTGCTTGAAAATATACTTTAAAAAGCAAAATCAACAAACTCTATGAAAGTCTGAGATTCCCAAGGCTGGTATCGTTGCTGGGGAAAGCCATTTCCTGATTCTATATATACACCAATGGGGTAGGAAAGAAGATGTATTTTATCTTCTTCCATTAGGGAATTGGACTCCTGTATCAAAATTTAAAAACTAGAGAATATTTTTATATCACACTTGCAAGCTTTAAATGTGCATCTTTTTCTAGCTTCAGTATGATTTGTCTTGCTTTAGAGTCCATTGTTAGAGTTAAACATCTCTTAAAATTATATCTCAGTTTTTCAGATTCCACCATTGCCAGTTGATTAAAGGTTTTACTGTGTGGGGTTGTTTTTGGTTTTGTTTTTGTTTTCAACAGAGTATTACAGAGGAATTACAGTTCCACCTTAAAATCATTCAGTACAGCTTTCAGTTTGCAGTTCTGTGTCCTTCCATAATGGATTTTGTCACTGGAGTTATTTATATCGGTGATTGATTCAGGATATGTTGATGAACCATTTTAAAAACAATGACTGGGAACAATGTTGAAAAACAGTATTGTTATGAGGCTGTGAAAAAAAAAAAAAAAAAAAGCCATTTTATGTAACAGCCAAATGTGCTTACATGTAGTTCTTCCTATTCTCAGCTGACTGTTACCAGTGGGTATAATGAGAAGGCAACGTTCCTATGTTAGTGTGAGTTTTTTCAGTCATGGAATGAAATTTTATTCTGACATGGCTAAATTTCTTTGTAACAGCTAAGAATAACATTTAATTATACATCAAAAATAAATGCAAAATGCTTAATTCATTTGTAGGAAAATAACTGCTATTTTGGAGAGCCTAATTACATGAAATATTGGATCTCTCTTGCTGTTTAAGTACCAGGAATATAATTGACACAGTGCAGCAAACAAACAGGATGTTTATTTTGAACTTCATTCTCTATGTTAATCTTTTTTTTTTCCTTGCCATTAATTTATAAAGTCTTGAAACTGTAATTTGCTGACGTATTTGGCATTGGGAGTATCACATGCTATTTCTAAATATGCACTGATATTAACTTGAAATATTTCTTCATTAAAATAAGAAGAGCCAATGCTCATTCAACTTTTCTGTCCTGTCTGCTTGTTCAATTTTTTCTGCACTTTCATGTTTATAATTGGGAGCTGTTTAAACAAAGGCTACAAGTGTGGTTTTAAGTCCCCGATGGAAGGACTTGTATGAGAAGCAGTCAACTGAAAGAAAACAACTTTGTCTTTTTTCCCATGCAGCCAGAAATGTGTTGGAATTGATCTGTGCTTGTTCCAATGCAACACACCACCAGGTCAGTCGAGTGGCAATAGCTTTAATCCCTTGAGCACGTGCATCATTTGCTGCTCATTAATGAGGTTCATTAGTGTGCAGGACCAGCTTCTGCCCAGGAATTGGCCTCAGTGGCAACAGGCCCTGGCCTGACAGCACTGGCAGAGGGTGGACAGACCCAGGGGCAGGGAAGAAGTACTGCAAACAAATACCTGAAGCATATCTTGGTAGCAATGCCACCAAAGTTGTAGTGATGTGTTAAATCTCAGAAGGACCTTTATGTTCAAAAACTGCCTTTGCCAGCTGTATCAGTGCCTCTGATAAGAGCTGTTTCCCTCCCACAAATACCACTCTGTTCATATGCACAAGCTGTGTGTAAAACTTGCAAGACCACTAAATGCTAGTTCTACAATGAAATCCTTGTGTTTACTTTGGGGGAAGAATTCAGCTGAGCAAGCATTAACTTACGTGATGGAGAGCACAAAAAGTGAAGTGACAAAACATTGCATGATACTGGAGTGAAGAAATGACTGAGGAGGACACGAGGGCTCCACCCAGATGCAATCCTTTGCTAACTCCTCTGAAGCATTTTGCTGTAATACTTGTTTTTTCTCCTTTCAGTCAAATATAGAATACCTGTAAAACTTCCTTTAGTACTTAAAAGTTGGCCCCTGATTGTTTTGGCATTTTAGCTTGCAGAGAATGTTTATACTTACTTCAAGGGAGAGAGAGGTAACTGTTTTGTGTTTGGATAATGAAGAGGACCATGAGAAAGTTTGGGATTTTTGGCTTAGTGTTAAAAGTGAAAAAAGATACTTTTCCCATACCCACCTCCAAATAAAAAAACATTTAATGACAGAAATTTCAAATATTCAATAGAAAACCAGCTAACAGGTTCAAGATCTTGGCACCTGCTTTATAAATGCTTTTCCATTCTAAATATGGGAACCAGGGTTTGGTTCTAACCTGCAATTCTAGGTCACTTTTTAGCACAGTGGCTCTGGTGGCTGGGCTTGGAGCAAACACAGTGGGGTTTCTCTTATCATTTTCATGCCTGTCTCATCAGTTTGGAGCTCTGTGGTCCCAGTGAAGTGTGCTGCCCAATTTGCTGGGCAAAAGACAAAAGAAGAAATTGTTACTTTAGTTTGTATAATAGCAAAAGTCACACAAGCAAAACACATCATGTTCTGAGAAGGAAAAGGAACAATAATCTGAAACAAATATTAGAAACATCAGCTCTAGTCAGGCATGACCACATCTGAGTGATTCCAGGGAAAATTTGTTTCCTGTGTGAGGACCAGTTTCCCTGTCAGTGTGGTGAATATTTCCCCTGTCAGTGTGGTGAATATTTCTCCCACCTGTCCAGTTTCAGTCCCAGATCTGCAGCCTTACTCTGGGCTGACTGCAGTCCCTTTTTTCTAATAAGTCCTTCAATACTTTTCAGACTGATGCAAATCTTGTGTTTCCTTCATTCTTCTGGAACTGAAGGATTCCCCTATTTGTTTTCAGCCTGATAAACTGCTGACTGACCACTGCCACCCACGTCCTTCTAATATGTTCTCCTTTAGAGGACTGACATGTGGTGGGCAGAGGCCAGTGGAAAGGCAGGGGTCTGTTGCTGTTGCGCTGGAAGGAGGTGTTGCTGTTGAAAGAAGGTGTGTTGAGCTCTGAGCTGCTTGGGCTAGTGGAACATGTCCCTGCCCGTGGTAGGTGGCTTGGCACTAGATGGTCTTTAAGGTCCCTTCCAACCAAACTACTCTGTCAAGTCTATCCTGGACATCTGAGATGGATCTCCCTCTCTCCTGCCTGTGCCAGAGCCTGCTCCTTCACTGACTGGCACCTGGCATGGCTTTGAGTAAAGGCAAAGGCCAGGCAATGCCCTGAAAAACAGCGACTTGTTTCTGGGTCATATTTGTGATGTGAAAGCTCCATTAGTTAGGCTTGTACAAACTATTCCATAGCCTTTTATCTTCGGTGGGAACTCTGTTTTTGAAGGACATTTTGATGCCTTTGTTTGTATTCCCTGTGTGACTAATTCAAACCAGAGCCATTTCAACCTGTTTGCCTGACAGGCCCAGAGAACCTAGAGAGGATGCAGATGTTCAGGGGCAGAAGTTGCTGCCAGTTTTCTGTCTGTGCAGTGACAGAGCTGCTGATCAGAACTGTTGGGCTCCCCACAAAACCTCTGCAGAAAATAAGCCCCTCAAATCCCAGTCCCACCATCACAGCCCGTGAGAGGCATCACCATGGGCTGCCAGTACAACCAGTTTCGGAGTGGTAGGTCCTAAAAGCCACTTGGCTTGTTGGCAAAGTATCCAGGATGTGGTGTTCTCACTGTAGGGTAGGCTGGGCTTCATTGGTGCTTTGAAGCATGGATGAGCAACGAGTTGCAGAATTATGCCTACTTTAGGGCATCAAAGCCCTAAGTATCTCACTGGGATGAGAAATAGGAGATACAGCCTCAACAACTCCTGGCCTGAGGAAGACCAGAGATATTTTTCTTTTCCCACAATTCCATGCCCTCAAGGAGTTCCCAGTGCTGCTTTTCACCTGGCTAGGTTGGAAAAGATTTGAAGATTTATAGCACCAGCATGACTGCCTGATGCCAAAGGCATTGGCTGGGTACATGGATATCTGCACTCAGCTTTGGTCCTAGGACATTTCTGAACTGCCCTAGGAACAAGGTGGAACCAGAGATGGCCCATGGCTCACACCAGTCTGCAGGCAGAGGTTACAGAGAAAGGAACAGGAGAAGGGTTCCACCCTAAAGTGCCAAATTTTTGAAGTGCCTTTCCATGTTAGAAATGAGTCCAGTGCACCATGGGCACCAGCAGAACTTGTCACCACTACACTTGTTGGGTCCCACACTCCACACCAAGACCCTCTTTCCCTGTCTTCTTCAGAGGCACTCACAAAGGCTGAAATTGTCAAAGCAGTTTTGAATTTCTGGATATAACCAGACCCTGGCTTTATTCAGCTCTGCAACTATTTCATCCAGTTGGGATCACAAGGAAAACAGAATTTAATTTCCAGTTGGCCAAGATGGGAGAGTTGACACTGTAATGATCCCAAAAAGTATCAAATGCTGCACAACATCATTAAGCACAAATAGAACATGCAGATTTCTCAAGGCTGAAACCTGAACTGGAGGTATTAAGTTAAATTGCTTTTCATGCTGTATGCATTACAGTCACTGCTTAAGGCTGTCACGGTTTAGCAGGCATTTGCATCTCCTATAGTGTCCTATTGCACTTTTAGCAGAAACACTATAGGTCCATAAAATGGCATTGCCTTTAAGCTAGTTTGCACCCAAGTCTTTTAAAGTCTTTCATGATAAACAGGCTATAAAAATTTTACCTTAATCTGTATAATCTATGAGTATTTTTTGGCTTCTATAAACTAAGAAGTCTTCACTTTTTGTCTCACAAGGTATAAAAAAAGTTGGTTTGACATCAGGATGCTTTAATAAATTCCTGTTTATCACAAAGGATTGCATTAGTATGGTCACATACTGAGAGATGTTAAAAAGACTTTAAAAACACACACTGTTTTTATAGCCAGGGGAGATAATTCAAAATGCAGAAATACTTCTTTCGGGAATCCCACACTTGACCAGGACTTGGTTGTAGTCATAGGTGAATAACCTGGTTCACACAGCTGTTTAAAGACAAAGAAATAGAAGTTCTCTGGGAGATGGAGAAATGGTAATTTTATTGTCCAGAAAAGGAAAGGTATTCCAAAGAGCTGACAAATAATTCTGCATAACCCATAGTAGTTCTGT